AAAACAATGTTCATAATATAGTTGAAGAAAATTGCTTTTCTCGTTTTTATGACTTTAATACTACGACAGTCTTTATATACAATGAGAAACTTTTAAACAGCAGTGAAATTATGCCACTCTATCTCTGATCCTTCTCTTTGTGTACTGTATGACTGCCATATATATAGATTAATCTGTTATTACTGATGACTTTGTTATTCACATTCCTATAGCCATAAATATGGATCACTGTGTATCAACCCAGAAATCACTCTGTGTGACTAAACAACATATACAGATCATTTTAGTGAAGAATGATATTAAGTGAGTGAACTTGTACTAGTAGCTACAATTATACTTAATAAATGACTTCCATGCCTGGAAAGAAGTATATGTTTGACTTAATGGCTATTATATATCACAGCATAAAGACCTGCATTCCTACATCTTTTCTTCCCTTCCACAAATTCTTACTCATCACATATTTTTCCCATATTGCTGGTGTTGGGCTAAAATTTATGAACTATACAGAAAAAAATGAAAATAATTTATATTCCTAAAGCATATAAGAGAACAATGGAAGAGATGCTCTGTGTGTGTGTGTGTCTATCTGTCTATATGACTATAAAGATAATAGGAAACAGCACTGCTATTTAAGAGGTGCCCTGAAGTTTATATGTAAAATGTTTTATGTAGTTACTGAATGCCTGCAAGTGAAGAGCCTGCAATGGAAGTTAGGAACATAGCTATGAAAAAGACAGTTACATTGTTTGGTGTTTTATGTTTTGCCATCTAGATGGAAGGCAGACACTAAACACATGAACAAATAAATGAAGGAATTATAAATTTTGATAAGTAACATGAAGGAAGCAAGATAATAACTAGAGAGAATAACTCTACTTTGAACATGAACATATGCCCACACAAAGACTTGCATGCAAATGTTCATGGAAACATTATTGGTAATAGCTAAAAGTGGAAGCCACACAAATGCTCATGAACTGGTGTTATGGGTTGAATTTTGTCCCTTAAATAGATATGGTAAAGCCCTAACACCCAGTGCCTTTGAATATGACCTTTTTAGAAATAGAGTCATTGTAGGTGTAATCAGTAAAGGTAAGGTCATGGTAGAGTAAGATGGGTCCTAGATCCAATATGCTGGTGTCCTTCTGAGAACACAATGGGAAGACACATACACACAGAGAGAATGTCACGTGATAACAGAGGCAGAGATAGAGTGATGTGGCTATGAGCCAATGAATGCCAAGGATTGCCAGCTCCCACCAGAAGGTAGGAAGGATTCTGCTCATAGTCTCAAAGGGAGCATGACCCTGGTAAAACCTTTATTTATGACTTTTATCATCTAGAACTGTAACAGGATACATTTCTTTTGCTTAGGGCCACGGAGTTTGTAATGCTTTGTTAAGACATCTCTAGGAAACTAATACAATCAGCAAATGGAGAACGAAAATGTGGTCTATTCATACAGTGGAATATTATTCTGCAGTAAAAAGGAACAAACTACTTGTACATGCTACAACATGGGTGAACCTTGAAAACACTATGCTCAGTGAAAGAAGCCAAGCACAAGAGACTACATATTGCACACTTATTTATGTGAAAGTTCAGGAAAAAGCAAATGTATAGAGACAGAAAGCAGATTAAAGGTTTCCTGGGGCTGAGACTGGGAATGGGGATTAGTTGTAAATGAGCATGAGGGATCTTACTGGAGTGATGGAAATGTTCTAAAACTAGATTGTAGTGATGGTTGCATGACAGCAAATCTGCTAAAAGCCATTGGATTGTACACTTACAATTGGTGAGCTCTTTAGTATGCAAATTATACCTTAAAACCTGTTTTTAAAAAAATTATCAATGGAAAGAGTGAGACAAAGGTAGAAGTTTTGATAATTTTGGTCATTTAAAGACCACTGTGGGCTAGAGAATAGGACCTCCAGAGGAGAGGGAAAGGCAGTAAGCAGGTAAGGGATTCAGGGAGAGCAAATGTTCAGTTTGGGCCTAAACACGTAAGGTTTTAGGATGTGGAGCTAATAGTTCAGGGATCTGAGACATTGCATCTCTGCATTGCCAATGATATTTTAGTCCTTCCACACAAGGTTGTATGACATATATTTGTTCCTTGGTGTAATTTTCATGACCGGATTAAATAAACACAATTTTATATGTGATATTTATAGACAGAGAGAGGCTGGCAAAAAACATAACCACTTCTAAGACCTCCTTGCCCCTTGTATTTTAACCTTATTGTCTCATCTCCCTCCAACACATGATACACTGCAATGCAAGCTGTCTTGATTTCTCAGGAAGAGAAAGACCTCTTTCTTTCAAGGCAGTTCTTTTTTTAATTAACACTGCTCTCAGAGTATACAGCCATATACACAGTACTAAAAGGTGTTAACTTTCTCACTGCGCTCAAAGTCATACTACTGATATTTATGGGATGATGATTCAACTGTACAGGCTGTTTGTTAGCAAGTTCAGCAGCTGTGTGTGAATGTTGTTGTTAGTATGCACTGAGTCTTTACCAGGCCAACTTTGTGCAGATGCTCAAAGAAAGGCATCAGGGGCAAGAGAACTCAAACAGCAGAGGCTGGCCAAGAAAGGAGGAATGATTTTGTATCTGAACATGTCAAGCATGTGTGTAGTGTATTTTAACCTACTTTTGTATATTATTCATTTTGTGATGAGAGGCCATTGTATATGATTAAGATGAGAAGTCAAGAGCCTGAGTTTCAACACTGACTCGTTTTCTGTGGGACTAAAGACAAACCATTTAGCTCTTGAGATAACAGCCTTGCTTGTAAAAGAAAGGGATAGATTAGAACTGTAATTTTAAGCTATGGAGGGATAAGTGTCCCTTCAAGAATAGGTTGCTCTCCATTTTCATCTCTCCTTTAGGCTTCCCTTAGTCAAGAGGAAAAAGAGACTGAACCTTAGAAGAAAAGGTTAAGACAGAAAAATGCATGGGGTCAGGTGCAATAACAAATAATTTCATAGGTTGCTAGCCATGCTAGCCATGGATCCTCTCTTTAGAAAAGTGTGCATCCAGCAGGAAAATAATACCAAGATTAAGATTGCCAAACCAAATTGTATCAAAGATCCCTTCCAAATCCATAGTTGTTGTCATTCCAGAAAAGAAGAATGAAAATAACAACAAGAACAATTATGTTCAAGTTTGTGTTTTGACAGCATAGCTCGTAGCAAGCTTAGCTAGATTGTAAGTCATCAGACACAGGGTTGATTCTGGTTTTCAGTTTGAGGATATTATCTTATTGCTTCTCAAACTCTGAAATGGCTGATGAAAGGGGTCACCTCAGCGGGGTGTGGTGGCTCACGCCTGTAACCTTAGCACTCTGGGAGGCCAAGGCGGGTGGGTCGCCTGAGGTCAAGAATTTAAGAGCAGCCTAGCTAACATGGTGAAACCTTGTCTCTACTAAAAATACAAAAATTAACCGTGCATGGTGGCATGTGCCTGTAGTCCCAGCTACTTGGGAGGCCAAGGCATGAGAATTGCTTGAACCTGGGAGGGGAGGATTGAAGTGAGCCAAGATTGTGCCACTGCACTCCAGCCTGGGTGACAGAGCAGGACTCTGTCTCAGAAAAAAATAAAATAAAATAAAAAAGGCAGGGATTATCTCTGCAAAGTGAATGAAATTATGTGTTATTGCACCTGATCCCATCCATTTTTCTCTTAACCTATTCTTCTAAGATTCAGCCTCTTTTTCCTCTTGACTAAGGGAAGCCTAAAGGAGAGATGAAAATGGAGAGCCCTATTTTTTTTAGTAAACTAGGTAATTCCAAACTCTTTATGGGCAAAGTTAAATCAAAGATCATTAAGAATGTCCAGAAATGGAATAAGAATAAATGTATTCGAACAATTAGAATGGTGGCAGATAAAGACAAGCATGTATTGATAAGAAATAATTGATAACATTAGGCATGGTGGCTCATGCCTGTACAGTAATGCCAGCACTTTGAAAGCCAAGGCAGGTGGATCACTTGAAGTCAGAAGTTCAAGATCAACCTGGCCAACATGGTGAAACCCTATCTCCACTAAAAATGCAAAAAGCATTAGCCGCGCATGGTGATGCACAACTGCAGTCACAGCTACTCAAGGAGCCTGAGGCAGGAGAATCACTTGAACCCGGGAGGTGGCAGTGAGTTGAGATCATGCCACTGTACTGTAGCCTGGGTAATAGGAGTGAGACTTTGTCCCAAAAAAAAAAAAAAAAGGAAGAAAGAAATAATTGATAAGTATTTAATTACAAAGCAGGACTTAGTTTGTTAAACTGTGTTACCTTGGCCATAAGTATACAGTCATTTTCCAGGATATAGGAAAAGTGAGAAAATATGACCCTCCAAATGAGTATGCCATTGGCAAGGTAGGTATAACTTAAACTTTTTCTATATTTGTGTCCTGTTATTCTTTTTTTCAATAATCCAAAATGTAATAAAAATACAGGCATTAGATGTTACCTTGCATATACTAATTTATGATTCATTTACAATGGCCTTGGAAATGAAAGTAAAAGTTGTAGCCACAGAATGATTACTCAGAAAAGTTATTTTATTATATAGACATAATTACACATGCAAGTATTCTAAGTACTTTTATTAATAAATATTACAAATTCAAATTTTTCTGCAGTGTACTTCAAAAGAGATAATTTATTTAATTTTCCTGATGACTGGCACTTTATCCCCTTCTCCTTTTGTTCCTTGAGACTGCCTTAAAACACTACTTTTGAGGGGCAAAGTTGTATGCGTGGAAAATTCAATCCAGGCAGATGGTATGGTGCTGTAATACAAATTTTTCTGTAGTTGTAACTGGGAGAAGAGCCACAATTCATGACTGCTAGAGATAGGACCTGCTTTAAATGAAGGAATTAATTGTGCACATAATGATGTGCATGAGCATTCTACATTAACAGAAAAATGAGTTTTACATTTTGTACATTTTAAAAGGATCTCCAAGACTTAGTTCCTTTATTTATTCACAGGAGTGATGGGTGAATATGAGCCCAAAATAGAAGTGCAGTTCCCAGAAACAGTTCCAACTGCAAAAGGAGCAACGGTGAAGCTGGAATGCTTTGCTTTAGGAAAGTAAGTTCTCGTTTGTGTTCTTTCTCCTCCCCCTTTCAGCTTGAGCAGGTATAGAGTTTTGTTTGGTTTTGCTTTATTTTTTTTGCACTCTTCACAGTGGTGGTTTCTGAGGTGACTGAAAAGCAAGTGAAGCCTTTCTCTTTGTAATTCTGTGTATGCATCTTAGATTCTGCACCCTCTCCATGGAGAGAGGACATGTAATGGTGCAAGAAGGATTAGGCTGCCACAACTGACATGGTCACAAAGGAGAGGAGAATGGGCAATTCTGAAAAAGTATTTTGTTCTATTATTATGACCTGTAATGTACATGCTGTCTAACCCAGAATGACAAGAAAACAGTGGCCTCCATTTGAGATACAGTTAAGCTGACTATTTGGAAAAATATGGACTTTCATTTTGGCCCCAGTTTGTAGAGGATGCGTTAGACTTTTCTTGACTTTCTTTTTAAACTGTCAGTCTCTTCTCTCTACTTTGGATTTCCTTCTGCTCTGGCTAGTGATAGAATCTGTTTTACAAAGTTATCTGAAAATTCTTTACAACCTTCTTATTCAGTCTGGATTATCTTGAGAAAACCCTACTTAGAAACTAGTTAACTTTTCCTTAGAGAATATGTCAGAGGGCATAAAGAAAATGAAATGCACATCAGTTGGGATTGTTATTTGCCAGTAACCAGCAATAAAGGTTTGGCATAAACAGTATAAACTGTTAAGTGAGAATTTTGACATCTTCTGTGGATTTAATGATCCATGTCAATCTTTACGACCAGCCCATCTATCTGACCAACCCATTACTAACTCTCTATTCCCTGTGCCCACACGTTGAATAAGGCAACAACACTAACTTTTTTTTTTTTTTTTTTTTTTTTAATATAGGTAGGATCTGGGTATGTTGCCCAGGCTAGTTTCAGACTCCTGGCCTCAACTAATCCTCCTACCTTCGCCTGTCAAAGTGCTGGGATTATAGGCCCAAGCCACTGAGCCAGGCAACACTAATTCTACCAATCCTTATATTAGCATGTAATCTATTTTCTTATGATTTTTGTGTTTTACAGCAATCATAGAACAGGTTCCTTTTTTCATTATATTGTCAGTTGTAATAGAAATGTTGTTTTGGTTTCCATGTGTTTTCACGTCATGACACATAATCTACAGTAGTATCTTTACTTTCGTACAGTACAGTACAGTGGTATTTTTTTATGTCCTGAAAACTTACCATATTAAGTAAATTATGACACAACTATAGATTGAACACTCTACAACCCTTAAAAGTCAAGTTGTAAAACAACATTTAAGACAGAAAATGCCCATGACTTACTGCTAAGTGAACAAAAGCAGATTGCCGATGGTATAATATGATTACACTTTTCATTTTTAAAGTATTTATGTATGTATAAGCATTTATATATATGAAATTAAAGATGAGAGCAGGTAACTGGGTAGCCTAGAAATGCATTTGATGAATTTTTTAAGGTGACACCTTGAAAAATAGTCTGTGAAGAAAGAGCAGAATTCGCGTTGTTCACACTTCAAAGAAGGCTATGAATTAAACTCTATTCACACTGTTTAAATGGTGCTAGAATAAAAACAAAAAAAAAAACCAAATTGGCTTCTTCAGTCTACACAGACGTGTTTGAGTATGCACATCCAGCTGCTGAAACACATCATTGTTGCCCACTTAAGAGCAGAAAAACTACATCTCAGTACAGTTATTTTTAAAGCCATGTATTAAGTATATATCTCATTGGTATAAAGACACCGATTATGTACTTTTCATAGAGGCTTTCTGCATTTTGAGTTAGAGTCTGTCTAACGAACTTAAATTATTCTAAAACAAATATAGTAAAGTTGATGGCTTTAATGTTTTAAATACCATCTCAGGTTTCCCAGAGAAGATTAGGAAGTCTTTAGTCTAATTACTTCTCTGTGTGTGTTTTTGTGAAAAATAAATAAGTAAATAATTGTATCCCCTGCCAGGAAGCCACAGTCTTAAAAGCTGTGGTTAGCTCACTAAACCATTGATTTGCAGACTCAATGATGCCCTCTCTGCAATTTAAAATATGTTCTACCAGTTATGGCAGTAGGATGATAGATGCCCTGAGAGTACATAAAGTCCTCACAGATGGCATCTTTCTTTTTCTTACTATTTTCAGTGGAGTTTCCCCAACCCATCTTCCAAATGGATTGCTCTAAGTTGGTAAGGTTCTCAGTATATAAATGACAAGGAGAAAAACCATGTTGTTCAAAACAATATACCTGGAGTGAACCCTTCCTCTATGTCAGCAATTAGGTTGTGTCTCTCAAATTTTATGAGCTCGTTATTTCTACCGCATTCATTACTTGAATATTTCTCAAAGTAGGGTACTTGCATTGTTGGTGCATAGATTTATGAAATTATATTGTTTCTGTTATCTGTTACCACATAAACCAACTTAAAAGGAACACCAGAACTTTATTCTGTCTTATAATTTGTGGGTCAAAAATTCAGACAGGGCTTGGCTGACTGATTCTTTTGCTTTTAGTGGCATCCTTCAGGTCTTTCAGTAGTATTCAGTGGGCAGATGAACTGGTCTAGAAAGCTCACAAGAGTCTCACACACATTTCTGGTATTTTGCTGGGAATGTTGTAAGGCTGGTGCTGGACGACTGGGACTGTCATCTGGAAGCCTTATGTACGGCCTCTCCTTCCTGGCAGTCTCAAGGTAGTCACTTTTCTCGTAGGACAGCTCAGGGCTGCCATGAGACAGAAAGTAGAAGCTGTCAGTTTCTTAACACCTGAGCTTTCATCATACAACATCACTTCTGTCTTATTTATTAGTCAAAGTGGTTTAAAAGAGCTACCAGGTTCAAGGGTAGGAACGTGACCTCATCTCAATGGGAGGAATGTGAAATAATTTACAGTTATCTTTAATTTGCCACAAATGCACACGAACATTTTTATTTTCATATTTTTGATTTGGAAAAAAATATGTATGAGGAAACACATATAACATATACAAATCTGTTTTTATTTCAGTGATGATATTGTATAGGAGATAGATCACCTTTTTTGGTTTTTTTGGAGATGGAGTCTTGCCCTGTCACCCAGGCTGGAGTGCAGTGGTGCAACCTTGGCTCACTGCAACCTTGCTTCCCAGGTTCAAGCGATTCTCCTGCCTCAGCCTCCCAAGTAGTGGGGATTACAGATGCTTGCCACCATGCCCAGCCAATTTTTTTTTTTTTTCGTATTTTTAGTAGAGGCTGGTTTCACCATGTTGTCCTAACTCCTGACCTCAAGTGATCCGCCCATCTCAGCTTCCCAAAGTGCCGGGATTACAGGTGTGAGACACTGTGCCCTGCTAGATCACCTTTAAAGTTAAGAAAAGTTATTTGATTTTAAGAAGAACACTAAATAAATAATATTAGAGATGTGGATATGGTTAAAATTGTAGTGGTGACAGATGAATGAATGAACTTTGCAAAACACTTCAAGCTTATATGTGCAGAACCAAGAAGGAAGGGGTTGTTAGGAGAATAGCTTCAAAATAAAAGGTTCAGTTTTCTCTAGTTTGATTCACTCCTTTTCATGCTTACTATCAGTCCAGTACCAACTATTATCTGGCGAAGAGCTGATGGAAAGCCAATAGCAAGGAAAGCCCGAAGACATAAGTCAAATGGAATTCTTGAGATCCCTAATTTTCAGCAGGAAGATGCTGGTTTATATGAATGTGTGGCTGAAAATTCCAGAGGGAAAAACGTAGCAAGGGGACAGTTAACTTTTTATGGTAAGTATATGTTTTCAGTTTATCATTTATAGTACTACAGAACTTCCTGATGTTGAAATCATAAGCCAAGAGGCATTCAGGCATTTTGGGAGAGATTGCATAGAATAGGACTGTGTGAAACTCATGGTTTGCTCCATAATTAGCCCTAGTTGATTCTGGGTATGGAGAGTGAGGGTGGGGGGCAAGGGTGTTGACAGAGCAGAGAGGAAGACATTAGGCTGATGTGTTTGGAGGATGAGGATTAGTGTGAACACACTTGGAAAGAAGTCTGTTTTTCCTCTTCGCATCAAGCTATAAACCTGACACAGGAAACATTTTATTTTTCCTGCTCCTGATTTATCTTTTTTTAAAGCTCTGTGCTTTTCTTCATTAGAATTTTGATTTGAGGCTTGTGTTAATCTTTTGTAATTGCTCCTATTTGGTAGCAATTTAATGTGATACCATGAACATTTCAAAATGCACACTGTCCAAATTTAGTTCTTATCAGAGTGGAACGTGGCAAATCTCTCTCACCCCAAAGACTTTTTATGTGCAGCTGCTCCTATTCCAATCAAATCATCAGCATTGATCCAAATAATATAAATGTAAAACCATTAGCACATGGTCATTATTGAGCCCATCTTGGAAACCCTGTTAGGATATTGATTTGAAATCTAGAAGAGGATTTTATTGGATAGGCATTTTGAAAGCAAACTGAGTTCTGCCAAATTGGACCATGCCAGAATCCCATCTGTCTGGGATGCAGAAAACAAATACTATAGATTGATAATTATTTAAGAATGGTTTAAACAAACAACAATGAATATTAAAATGAGGAGAGTAGTGCTGTAGGGCAAGTTGTAGCAAAAGCTTTAAATGTTCTTCTTTCTTGGAATAATTGATCCCACAAAAGTCTATTTCACTAATTCTTCTTCCAAAGCATTTTGGTTTTAAGATATAACCAAAGTTCTAAGCTCCCCAGTAGACAGAAGGGAACCCCTTTTGGCTAAGGAGAGCCCAGAGTAACACTGAAAACTGAATTCTTGGCTATGACTGGATGGTGATGTCAGACACATCTAATTATACCCGATCTCTCGCTATCCACAATAAGCCTTTCTTCCCTAAGGGCTAAACACAAACTAGCCCTTTAAAAAGACTCCATCACTGATACCAACCACCCACCTGAAGCTGCCCCTTGTATTTTGCTTAATAAGAGACCACCAACCACAGGTCATTCTAGGGAGGATGTGCAGTGAGGGGTTTCATGTCCACTGGTCTACCTGTTGGTATCACGGGGCCAAAACCTCCATCCTCGGATGCTAATACTGCCATTTTTCATACACTGAACCTATGAAGAGTTGCACATGCACATGGTTCTCCTTTCATAAATATCCATGGCTCCTCCTGTAGCTTATTAAATATGTATACTCATATTTATATACATATAAATATGTATATAAATTCATGGCTCTGTGTATGAAATATACATATATGTATATGAATGTGTATATACATATGAATAGATGTATATTTCATACACAGAACTCATGAAACTCAGTTGTTCATGCACATGGTTCTCCTTTCATAAATATCCATGACTCCTCCTGTAGCTTATTAAATATGTATATTCAGCCACTCCACTCAGCACAATTTCCTGTTCCCTTTGCCCCTCCTTCAAAGTGCCTGTTTACAGCTTCTGGACAAAGGAGGCTACACTTCCTACCCTGTCAGAATGGCCACCAGACAGGCTAATAAAGCTCTCTCTTCCAAAAAAGAAAGAAAGAAATGGAAGGAAGGAATGGAGGGAAAGAAAAAGATAAGGAAAAAAGAAAGGAAGGAAAGAAAAAAGAAAAAGCTATGGACAAAGAATTTTGATCAATAATCACATAAATATTTTTTAAACGGTTGATTGGAAACTGGGTGGAGATTTCCACTCAGTTCAGTGGTGGCTGCTCCTAAATGTTATTTGAGTAGCCTAAGTAATTAAATAAAGTCATTTCAACTTTCATGATTTTCTGTTAAGTGAAATTCCTGTTCTCAGTATGTTAAACTGGTATGAAATTTTCTGTAACCAGGGGTCGGCATACTGCTTTCCTGTGGGTTAGAGGTTTCCTGCACTGGAAATAGAGTACCCCAGGGTTACTGTTATGGAAAATCAACTTTGTCACTGGCTCCCAGCCCTGTGCAGGGAAATGTTTTTTTCAAGGATCCTGCCCTGGAGATGAAAATCGGGTTCTAACAATGTTTCCTTTTAAATGGAGTTATCTGCAGCCATGCATGCGAAAAAGAGCAGAATAAAATAAAATATGCCTGCTTTCTGAAGATAACTCAGCCTTACCTCACTTGTCAACCATGCTTGGTATTAGAAAATTGTCAGATCAGTTGACTTCCATAGCACTTGGCTATTGAATTTATGTTTATTCTTTTGTTTTTCCTTATCTAGCATATCAGTGACAAAAATTGTCTAATTGTTTTCATTGTCACAGTCACAGGAGAGCTTAATTATACATAAGCACTTGGCTGTCATCTTCTATCCTCTCACTTTTTTGTGGTCTGGATTTTCACAGTGCTGTGTTTCTAATATCCAGCTGCCTAGGTCTCCAATTTAAATGAATTATTATGATTAAAATCAACGTGTAGTTCACAAAAGGCAAGAGAATACCCCAGTTGCTTATCCATGAACATTCTGTCTTTGTTGACAAGACAATTTCTTACATTAAGGTGTGCTGCCCTTAGGGATTATAGACCATGGGTAACATACTTCTCTGTGTTCCAAGTTGCTGTATTCCATTCATAAGGGTGCTAACTCCTATTCAGGACTGGCAAAATGGCAATTTTTTTTCTTCTTGCCTTAAAACCACTTTACCTTCTTTCAAAGGCCTGCTGGGCATGATCATTGTTCTCAGTGTCTGAATAATGGAAGCCCTATTGACAGTTGGTTTGTCCCTACTGTGGCCATGTCTTTAAGTCAGCCTGTGCTACTCATCTTTAGTACGTATGAAGAACTGAAACAAATTCAGACAGAACATTTTTACCCTACCCCATCTTCCCAATTTATTTTTCCTGTATTATTTTACCCTACCCCATCTTCCCAATTTTATTTTGCTATCATGGTCTAGTTGAATCTACTTTTCTCAATCTTTTTTGGCATAAAAACTTCCTAAAAATAGATTTGTTTTCAGTGGTAAAATGCTGAGGATCTTTGTTACTAAAGATAAACATTTTCCAAAATAACTTTAATACATTATTTACTTGTTTAACAAAATTTTTTTTATTGCTGCCATGTGGGAGGCATTGTGACGTACTAGGGCTACAAGACAAAATGTCTTCCCTCAAAGACCTAATACATTACTGGAAGTTAACAGAAGTGTACTATTAAGCAAACAAATTAACTAGAAAATTTTATTTTATGGTAAGAGTGATAAAGAACATAATTAGGTTGACTGACCAGGTGCAGTGGCTCACGCCTATAATCTGAGCACTTTGGGAGGCCAAGATTGGTGAATCACTTGAGGCCAGGAGCTCAAAACAAGCCTGGCCAACATGGTGGCTCTACTAAAACATAAAAATTAGCTGGATGTGGTGGTGGTGCATGCTGGTGGTCCCAGCTACTCGGGAGGCTGAGGCAGAAGAATCACTTGAACCCCAGGGGGCAGAGGTTGCAGTGAGCTGAGATTGTGCCTCTGCACTCCAGTATGAGCAACAGAGCGAGACTCCATCTCAAATAAATAAATAAGTAATTAGATTGATATAATAGAAAGTAGCTGAGAGCAAGGGAAAGATTTTATAAGATGAGGCAGTCAGGAAAGATTTATCTGAGAATTACCCTCTAACCCAAAACCTAAAGGATGAAAATGAGCTAGGCTTTCAAGGGGAGGTGCATTCCTGGCAGATGAGGCAGTGCAAAGGCTCTGAGGCAGAAAACTGCTTGATGTGCTGTGCTTGGTATGTAACAGGGAAGCCAATGTTAACTAAATCGTAGTGAGCAAGGGTCAAAGGTTTGAAACGTAGGAAGGTGACAGACTGCATTACTTTGTAAGCCAGGCACAGAGTTTCGGTTTTATTCTCTGAGTATAATGGGAAGCCATTACAGCATTTCAGGGCAGGAGCGTGACTCAATTTGATTAATGTTTTTAAAAGAACTCAGGTTGTTTTGTGGTAAATGAATGATTGGAAACCAAGAGCAAAAGCTGGACAACTGGTTAGGAGGCCATTACCAATATCCAGGTGAGAGACATTTTTGGTTAGGACTTAAGAGAGGAAGAGAAATGGAGAGACTTGAGATATATTTTGTAGTTAAAGCCAATAGGATATTCTCATTTCATTCCTACATCTGTCTAGTTTATAGACATGGAAACTGAGTCCCAAAGAGATTAAAGTAATTGATTTAAGCTTATACAGTAAAAAACAGAGCTAGATTTCAAATGCTGTGCTAGAGGGTCTGAAACTTCAGTTTGTATCAGAATAACTTGGAAATCTTATTACAACACAGAATTCTGGGTCTCGTTCTATGTTCCCAGTGGGAACATACCAGGTGGAGGCTTTGATTTGGTAAATCCAGGGTAGGACCAAGAATTTGCATTTCTAGTAAGTTCCCAAGTGATGCTGATGCCACTTGTCTGGGAACCACATGGTGAAAACCGTTGCTGTCTGCTTAGGCTGTCCCACATGGTATTGTGTAGCTGAAGATTAAATTACATGCAAGAGAAGGTGTTCCGACTACCCTGGAAATCTACAGCTTACTGTCACATCAGGCATTGTAGCCAGTCTATACAAAGTAGAATGAGAGTGCTAAGGCAATTATCTTTGAAGAAAGGAAAGAGCAATATACAATAGATTTAATTCACTTGATAATTATTCTCTTTCCACTTCATTATGTCTCTGTAGTCACTTCCTTTTTGCCCAAAAAGGCTGATAGAATTATAGTCATCCTTTAATAGAATGAAGTGTGAACTAAAAAAGCCTGATATTTAATATCTTTGTACAATTTCTTCTCTTTGTAACAGGTGTTATAAGAGTAA